GGACTTCTTGGAGGAGGCAGTAACAGACTAGGCAACAATGGGGAAAGGCAGGTAGCCAAGCACAGCAAGAACACGGGAGCACGGAGAACAGCGAGCGTGCGGCTCGGGTGAAGGGGTGAGTCTGGAGTGTCTGGGGACAGAAAGAGAGCCAGGACAGGAAAGAGGAGGGTCTCGGTGGTGACTGCAGAGAAGTAATCAGGGGACATGCAAGGAGATTCAGTTGTATCCCAACTACAGTAAGAAACTATGAGAGAAGTTCAAGTGAAAGATGAATAGAGGCCGATAAACGTGCTAAAATTCCAACTGTTGGACGTGGCAGAGAATGCAGGGGACATGAGCGGAGCAGGGAAACCAGGCAGGAGGCTACCACAGAAATCGGGACAGGTTTTAGGCAGAGGGCAAAGGCCGGCTGGTCGACAGGGCTGGTGGGTGAGCGGCGACTGGGTGGGAGGCAGGAGAGAAGAATCATAGATGAGTCCAGGAGATACTGGTGCACCCGTCCCTCGAAAGCATGTACAAGTAATAACTGAGAGAGGAAAAGAGACAATAAGAAATTAAGGTTAATAAAGACTAGAGAGTCCCGAGTAAAGACAAAGTCAGAAAAGCTGATGGTTAGACAGGCCAGCGATTCTGAAATATTCTTTGGAAGTTGACTAACTGTCCTGGTTATTTAGACGCTACAGCCACCGGGCCTTCTTTTGAGAAGTCTGGCAGCCTAGTGCTCACTGCACACATGTGACAGGTTCCTCTTTAAACCTGGAGTTAAAAATGGGGACAGGTAACCAAAGCGTGTCAGAGGCAAGCTCACACAGACGTTCATTCAAGTTCAGGACCAGCCTCTCAGGGCGACTGGGAGGTGTGCCACTCGAATTTATCTCAGAAACTGAGAATTAGTCAGAAGATTCCATGTCAACCACAACAGAGAAGTGGGAAGCAGACTAATCAGTGACTTAACTCCTAGGTGCAGGCACTTGACACACATGAGCTCCTTTAATCCTCGAGCAGAACCCTGCGAGGGAGGCGTGGTCCCCTTCGGGGTCTGGCAGAACAAACGAAGCCGGGGAGGGTTAGAAACACGCTCAAGGCCTTAGACAGTGGTCGGGATCCGAATCGGCCTTGCCCTGAGCTCACCTCCCTGGCACAGAGGCACCGTTGGCAGCAGGGGAGCTGGGACGGGCCAGGTCTCAGCCTTAGCTGTTCCCAGTCGCCCTGGGCAAGCTCAGTCCAGGGGCGGCTAGAAGTCAGACCATACACAGAGGTTGCTTTTCTCTCTCTGGCTCTTGTTCTTGCTGTGTCTCCTTCGCTTTCTAGTTATTGCAGTGGTGCTGAGCTCTGTCCTCTGTCTTCTGGGCAGAAAAATGAGGTTTCCTGTCTGGGCTCTGGTGTCCACATGGCACAGGCTGGGCACTTCCCTCAGGGGGAAAGTCACAAAAATGGGACCTTCACCAAGTGCCTCCTCTTCTTCCAGAATCTTCTTTTGTCTTCTCTCCTGTCTTCACGTACACATGCAGTCTAGAGATCAGTTATCTTCATGAGAGCTTGTTGGTAGGAACTACTTCATTCCTGAGAAATAATTTTTTTTTTTAAATAAGTCTTTATTGATATTTCAGAAAGAGAGGAAGGGAGAGATAGAAACATTGATGTAAGAGAGAAACACCGATTGGCTGTCTCCTGCATGCCCCCTACTGGGGATCGGGCCTACAACCCAGGCATGTGCCCTGACCCGAAATCTCAGTCCATGCTCAATCCACTGAGCCACACCAGCAGGGCAAGAAATAATGTTTTAAACAAGAAACTTTAAATCAAATAGACGGTTTCTAGAAATACATTCATTTTCTTTACACTTTTGATAGAATGCTTCTTGGTGCTCTCTGATAATCTGGTTATAGTATCCTTTTGTAGAAGATCTAGTTGGTTTCTACACTAAAAACAATGCTCCCAGAACAACGCCCAAACAATTCCACTGGCATTTCCCACCGTAAGCACATATGACCACACACATGCATCCGCACTGCCCTCTAATGGCTGAATGTTTGAAATACAAATCAAAGTAATGAACCAAAATTTTCAGACAGCTCAACTGGTAACAACTTGCAGGAATCATGAGTCTCCCTAATAACAAAACATCTTACTGGTTGTGAACTATTTACCATTTTGAATTTTATCACAATAAAAAAGAGCAACAAAAGAAGCTCTTAAAAAGCTTCTGAGATGTTTCAAGGATCTGGGGCAGTCATGGAATGGAGGCGAAAGTGAAGTATGTTAGATAAGACATTCCAAAGCAAAAAAGGTGGTGAGGACGTCGTCCTGGAAGGCTGAGAAGCTGTCAGGTGAACCTGGGATGAGTGTGTGTGTGTGTAAGAGGCAGTGAGGTGTACCTCACATACAGGAGCCTTCTTGCACATACAGGAGCCTTCTTGGAGTTACAGCGCCACCTTGTGTCTCAGACTCTTCTGATAGAAATACGGACACCATGCTCCTTTCAGCCCTTTCAGACGTTTGAGAATTTTTATGAGTTTATTTGTTTGTTTGTTTATCCTCACCCGAGGATATTTTTCCATTTTTTGTACAGATAGAGTGGGAGGGAGAGAGAGGAAGAGAGAGAAAGTGAGAGAAACATCGAAGTGAAGGGACACATCGAGTGGCTGCCACCCGCACGACCAACCGGGGCCGGGGACAAACTGCAACTGAAGTACGTGCCCTTAGCGGGAACCGAACCCCGGTCTCTCCAGACCGCAGGCCGACGCTCTAACCGCTGAGCGAAACTGGCCAGGGCTTTATGAGTTTATTTGAACCAAATGGAGGACATGCTGGGGAGCAAGAACTCATATGCTCTCGAGAATGCCAGTTTTGCAGCTTTTTATACTTCTGAGTGAAGGTGGGAACCCAAGCAAGATGACATGGCGGTGGGAGGAAGCCTGAGCTCGGTGGTCAGGGGCTGTGTGGTTCCATGGGTTTTGACAGCTGTCTACTGCCGCATATCTGCTGCTGCGGTGTTGTACAGACAATTTCACTGCACTAACATTCCTGAGTCCCACCTACTCATCCTTTCCTCGGTCCTCACACTCCTGGTTGACTACTACTCTTTCCATTGCCTCTACTGTTCTGCCTTTTCCAGAATGTTCTATAGCTGGAATCATACAGAATGTAGCCTTTGCAGACTGGCTTCTTTCACTTGGCAAAGCTTCTTCTCCATCTTGGCTCGAGAGCTCATTTCTTTTCATTATTAAGTAATATTCCACTGAAGAAGTGTATCAGTTTGTTTACCCGCTCATCTACTGAAAGGCAGCGTGGTCGCCTCCACACCTTGACAATTGTAAACAAAGCTGCGATAAACGTGTGCAGGTTTTTGTGTGCACACAGGTTTTCAACTCATTGGGGTAAATGACAAGGACAGTGATGGCTGGATAGTCTAGTAGGATGTTTAGCTTTGTGAGAAACTGTTGCAATGTCCGCCAAAGTGATTGTACCAGTTTGCTGGTAATAAACGAGAATTCCTCTCGGTCTACCCTCATCAGCACTTGGTGTTGCCAGTGTTTTGAATGTGAGCCATTCTAACAGGTGTGCAGTGGTAGCTCGTTGTTGTACTTTGCAGTGCCCTGGTGATGTGATACTGAACACCTTTTCATTGAACAGCATTTGTTTGGATCCTTTGCCTGTTTTTTACTGAATTTTGAGTTCTTTGCACATTTTGGACACAAGTCCTTCAGCAGATATGTGTTTTGCAATTACTTTTCCCAGTCTATGTCTTGTTTTTTATTCTCCTAGTAGTGTCTTCAGAGAGAAGTTTTTTTTTATCTTGTCATACTTAATGAAGCCAACAAAAGAATCATCCCTTATTTAGGATATAGCCCAAAATACTAACAAGTGGGAGTGGAGGGGGTAAGACGTGTTAATTTTCTCATCATAGCAGGGCACTAATTTGCTGTCTAAAACTAAAACATTTTTTAGAATATATATCTTATAATAACTTCTTTCACTTACCATGTTTTTGACATCCATCAAAGTCACATATAATTTTTCTCAATTGTGTAGTATTTCGTTGTAGAAATATGCCTTTTTTGTTTGTTTGTTTATCCATTTTCCTGCTGATGGACCCTGAATCACTTTTAGTTTTTTTTTGGCTGTTACAAATAAACCTGTTATACTCTTTTACAAGTCTTGGTGTAAGAGTCACTTTTAAATTCTGAATTGACTTGGGGTGTTTGAATAATTCATCCCTCGGATTTCGGCCTTAGAACCCTACAGTGTCCACCTAAGGGGGTCCTGTCTTTGTCCCATCGTCCCCCCCCCCCCATCTCTTCACAATACCCTTTTTGTCTGCTTCCTACAGTCTTTACCTTGAGTTATAGTGACTGTTAGCTCGCCTGCCCCTGCCCCTGCCCTGCCAACTCCCTTACTAGGCCACGAGCTCCAAGGGGAAGCCGTGCCCGGTCGAGGGTGGTACACAGCAGGTGCTCCATAAACAGCTGTCGGAAGGATGAGTCATTCCACAAACAAAACCACAGGCTGCCGGGCTCACCAGGGACCCAACGCCCCGGCTCATAACATCCCCAGCAAGACACAAAACGACGACCACGTCCCCAACGGCGGCCCACGGCCGACACGGGAGGAGCCAGGTCTGGGGGTGGGGAGACCCCTCTGGATGAGGTCCGAAAACACCGTCACGTAGCCGACACGCTCCGCTGTGACCAGTGCAACGTGCACCGCGACAGGGCGGGCGGGGCCGCGCCCACGAAGGACCGCGGGGAGCGGGGCCTTGTGAGTCACCCCACGCGGCGGGAGGCCCGGGACTTGCCTCGTCAGCGTCCCACAGAGCAGCGCCGGCAAGGGGGGCCGGGCTCGGGGTACAGGGGCTCAGCAGGAACGAACACGGTGGACGCCAGCCTCCCGCGGCATCGGAAAGCCGAGCCCACAGGAAGTCCAGCCCTCGGTGAACCTCTTCCCGGAAGCGGGGCCGAGACGCACGTCGAGCTGCGCCTGCGCACGGAGGTCTACGCGCAAAGGGCCAATGAACGGAGGGGTGGGCGGGCTGTAGGCCAGCGACCCGTTTCCGGTTCCGGTGGGCCCGGGAGGGCCGGCTCCAGCGCTACGTGTCCCTGTATCCGAAGTGTCCGCGGGCAGGTAGGGCGCTGTTTCCCGGGGGCCGTGGGCGCGCCCTTTGTGACTCGAGGTGGCGGGCGGGCGGTGAGGGGACCCCTCGCTCAGGGCCGCGACCAGGGTCCGGCCAGCCTCTCGCGTGCAGCCGGAGACCCCGCGCCGCGGCCCCGAGGGAGAGCGGCTCCAGGGCTCGTGGGCCTTCCCGGCACGAAAACACCGGGTGTCGGCTTCCTGGTCGCTCATCCTCGGCCACCTGTGTGTGAGCCTAAGTCTGGGCCTCGCTGTCTTCTGTGCGGTGGTCGGACCCGGGGCCCTGCCGCCGGGGCGCCTTCGGGGTGGGCTTTGCGGATGGGAGCCCTCGGATGGGCGTCCCCTCGGATGGGAGCCCTCGGATGGGCGTCCCCTCGGATGGGAGCCCTCGGATAGGAGCCCCCTCGGATGGGAACCCTCGGATAGGAGCCCCCTCGGATGGGAACCCTCGGATAGGAGCCCCCTCGGATGGGAGCCCTCTCGGATAGGAGCCCCCTCGGATGGGAACCCTCGGATGGGCGTCCCCTCGGATGGGAACCCTCGGATGGGCGTCCCCTCGGATGGGAGCCCTCGGATAGGAGCCCCCTCGGATGGGAACCCTCGGATAGGAGCCCCCTCGGATGGGAACCCTCGGATAGGAGCCCCCTCGGATGGGAACCCTCGGATAGGAGCCCCCTCGGATGGGAGCCCCCGGATGGGCGTCCCCTCGGATGGGAGCCCCCGGATGGGCGTCCCCTCGGATGGGAGCCCCCGGATGGGAGCCCCCGGATGGGAGCCCTCGGATAGGAGCCCTTGGATGGGCGTCCCTTCGGATGGGAGCCCCCGGATGGGAGCCCTCGGATGGGAGCCCCCGGATGGGAGCCCTCGGATAGGAGCCCTTGGATGGGCGTCCCTTCGGATGGGAGCCCCCGGATGGGAGCCCTCGGATGGGAGCCCCCGAATGGGAGCCCCCGATGGGAGCCCTCGGCTGGGCGTCCCCTCGGCTGGGCGTCCCCTCGGATGGGAGCCCCCTCGGATGGGAGCCCTCGGATGGGAGCCCTCGGATGTGCGTCCCCTCGGATGGGAGCCCCTTCCATGGGTCCCCTTGATGGGTTTCCTCCCCTGGGCGTCCCCTCAGATGGGCGCCCTGGGGAGAGCTGTGTTCAGGCGGCCCCGCCACGCTCCTGGAGGATGGTCAGGATTCTAGGTCAACAGATCACAGTGGCTTATTGGGTCCCCTCCCTGACACTGAGTGGGGGGTTTGTGTATTGTCCCCCCCTCCTTTCCCATCCCCCGGGGAAAGAGCTCTTAACTCTCATCGTGACATCTGTAAAGTTCAAGCCCACTGGATATGAAGAACACAGTTCAGTGAAGTACTGAGAAAACAGGCACTAATATGATTCTGGAGGGACCCAACCTCCTTGGCCCAGAATGTGTATAGAATTCCCAGTGTATTTTAAATGTTTCCTGTCCATTATTCCAACTGCCCACCCTGGACGAGGAAAGGTTTCATGGCCGCATTTGAATCAGCACCTGGTCTTATGGTGACACTGTCACTGATTCAGCAGAAGTGTGTGAGTGTTTGTGTGCCGGCCACGGCCCTGAGCACTGGCGGTAACAGTAACAGTAAAATACACGTGGTACCCTGGCCCCCGCAGCTGTGGCATGGGCGGCTCTCAAAGCTAAGATTAGAAGGCGCTTCTACTGAGTAATAGATTCGGTAAAAGAACCTATATGAGAAACTCTGTAGCCCCCTTTCCTTAGAGCTATGTGCAAACCTAAAGGTTTGGGGTTTAGCTGGTAGCTTTAGTGAGTCCTTGTGGTTTTGGAAATGCGATTGGTCAATCCCACACAAATACACTCTTTTCTAGAAATGTTGAGTGGCATGGTTTGGACCAATCAGACTGAAATCCACGTTTGCCTCCACTCTGGGTCTTGTACCACAGTTGGCAGGAGACACTGTTCTGGGGAGTTTAAAATAAAATACAGGAAATATTTGTTGGGTTCCCAACATTGGTGGCTCCTCAGCCGGAACAGGGAGAGGACCGCAGAGTGGTGAGGCCTGGCCGTGTTGTAATCACCTAACCTGGTGATGGCAGTAGCCCTGCGCAGCCTTGTCAGTGATCGGAGCGTGGGTAAAACCTGTGCCTTTGCTGTTGATCTGATGCTTTGCTGGAATTCACAAAGATAATGACAGTTTAGGCTTGGAGTCTGTGTTTTATTTATTTTGTGAGATGGGATTGACCCACATCAGGCATGAACTTCTGGTTGGGCTCACTTACACTTTGATATAACTAAACAAGTCCTTGCTGTATGACAAATAATACCACTGACTATCTTTTCTGTCTTTTGTTTGTCTTTTAAACAAGCATCATGGATCAGGTAATGCAGTTCGTTGAGCCAAGTCGGCAGTTTGTGAAGGATTCGATTCGGCTGGTTAAAAGATGCACCAAACCTGATAGAAAAGGTAATAGCTTTAAAGTGAGAGGAAAAGTTCGGTCTTTGCATTATCTAAGCCTTTTATTTGATTAATATTGTCCTGTTTAATAGTCATTGCATTACTTTCTTTCATTCACATTTTTATTGGTTTATTTCACTTTATAGCTTTTTAAGACACTTATTCCTAAATTTTGCACACTTTATACATTTTTCTGTTTTATGTATTTTCAAATGGTGTAAGATTATTTATTACAGCCTTATTTTTCATGTTATATTTGCCTTAGTCATATTTAATGACTTTATAGTTTTTCATATCTTTGATATTTTTATTGTGGAAATCTTTTGGGAGTTCTCTGTGCTCTGTACTGCTCCCTTCACTCCCTCACAGAACCCTAACATGAATCAACTACATCATGGTTGCCACCTTAGGAAGTTTAATTTCTTATTCATCATGGCTCCTGTGTTCAAAGGTGCACCAGATCTGTCTGCTTGTATTCCTGGGTTGACCGCTGCCTGGGCCAGGAGCTGGGATTGCAGCAGAGAATGCAGTGCAGTGTATCACATACATAGAGAACTTAGGGGATAGAGAATGGGGATCAGTCCTTGTATTCCTGGGTTGACCGCTGCTGGGCTAGGAGCTGGGATTGCAGCAGAGAATGCAGGGCAGTGTGTCACATACATAGAGAACTTAGGGGATAGAGAATGGGGATCAGTCCTTGTGTTCTGGGTTGACCGCTGCTGGGCTAGGAGCTGGGATTGCAGCAGAGAATGCAGTGCAGTGTATCACATACATAGAGAACTTAGGGGATAGAGAGTGGGGATCAGTCCTTGTGTTCGTGGGGTGACCGCTGCTGGGCTAGGAGCTGGGATTGCAGCAGAGAATGCAGTGCAGTGTATCACATACATAGAGAACTTAGGGGATAGAGAGTGGGGATCAGTCCTTGTGTTCGTGGGGTGACCGCTGCTGGGCTAGGAGCTGGGATTGCAGCAGAGAATGCAGTGCAGTGTATCACATACATAGAGAACTTAGGGAGTAGAGAATGGGGATCAGTCCTTGTGTTCGTGGGTTGACCGCTGCTGGGCTAGGAGCTGGGATTGCAGCAGAGAATGCAGTGCAGTGTATCTCATACATAGAGAACTTAGGGAGTAGAGAATGGGGATCAGTCCTTGTGTTCGTGGGTTGACCGCTGCTGGGCTAGGAGCTGGGATTGCAGCAGAGAATGCAGTGCAGTGTGTCACATACATAGAGAACTTAGGGGATAGAGAGTGGGGATCAGTCCTTGCTCTTGTGGAGCTTAGACTTGCTCAGCAGTCCAGCCTTCAGTTACTGCTGTGGACAGTGTTCGGAAGGGAAATGGGGGCTCACCAGGGGGACAGATCCCCGGGGGAACTGGGTGAAATGGGAGCAGTGCCAGGGTCTGAGACCTTTACGTAAAATTGCACTCAACCCAGTTTGATTTTCAAGCCTTAATTTTGGCTTCATCATAATATCAAAGAAAATGAAGCTATTTTTTTTTAAATAAAAAAGTTATGTTTTGTGCTTTTATAATCAATATTTTTAGCAATGTTACCAATTTTTTTAGGACAAATTCTCTGTATTCTATCCACATTTTATTTATTTTTGGAATCTTGGTCATTTGCTGAGAAGATAAAATATTTCACTGCTTGTTGATGGATTTATTAATGGCATATACTTTATTTCTGTGTTCCTTAAATATCAATAAAGTATAAAAATTTAAAATTCATCAGTTTATTTACTATTAATAAATAGTGTCATATTTTATTTAAAATTATATATTTACTATCAGGAGAAATGTACACCAGTAAGTTTATGTCACTGCTAGTTTTTTCCCGTATATACTTAAATGTGAAAGTGATAAATTTTGTGTTTTTAATCCAGAATTCCAGAAGATTGCCATGGCAACAGCAATAGGATTTGCTATAATGGGGTTCATTGGCTTTTTTGTGAAATTGATCCATATCCCTATTAACAACATCATTGTGTAAGTAAACTTTTTGAAATAGACAGTATCTAGAATGGAATGAAAATGGAAACCATTTGCGTTGACTATTTGCTGTTTCACTAATGCACAGATATGTATGTCTCTTGACTTTTTAGTGCTGTTAGAATCTACTGATATATATATATTGACTACCCAGTAATTTGAAGTGATTTTGTTCTCATTGTGATTAAACAAGGTGTTTGAGTGACTGTAGTAAGCTGTCAGGGTTGAGAACCACTGTGTTAGTCTGAACTCTTTATTTTCAACTAGCATATTGTCTGTCAAAGTGAAACTTCTCCACTGACCATTCTGTTATGTAATGCATGTTTTTTGTCTTGTTCAAAAAGCCATTATGCTAGACTAATGAACACATTTCCCAAGTGAGGGTTCGGAGTTTCTAAGATAAATCTGTGCTAGCAGCCACTTCATGTCCAAGGACCTTTTCAGTCCAAGATTGTGAAGTTCAGTTTCTTCTCTGTGCCCTCGTAGTGATGAAGATGCGGCCCCAGCTGGCGGGTCCACAGACTCACAGTGCACTGCGTTTCAGATCATTATTGGGACGAGCCTACACGCGCTCTCAGCTGACCATTTTTCTTTCTTTCACAGTGGGGGCTGAAGAATACCTTTTCGAGAAGGGTTTCTCATCTTGGGGATTGGTGAACAGTGAAGATTTGAGAAACTCATGGAGTAAAAAATTTGCCTACCTGTTTTGTGATGGTCTTTCATTTTTTTTGTCTTCCAAGATGTTTTCTATTTCTAAATTAAAATAATTTCAAAATAAACAAACGTGTCTGTTTTCTATCACAGATATTTTCAAATTTTAATGATGGGAAGACATGACGGGTTCCCCTACCACCCTCTTCCCTTCCATCCTTCATAGTCTGTTTGCAGAAGCTTGAGAGCAGGGCGGAGCGTTGACTTGCTGCGCGCTCTGCCCTCGGGGAGGGGATGCGAGGGGAGGACGGACAGGCTGGTGCAGGATGGCGACCGCGACAGGTAGTCAGAGCTCCTGTAGACAGGTAGGTGCTGCGTGGAACGGCTTCCTGAATCCCGGCTGAAACGGCACAGGGGGAGGTCCTTCCGGGTAAACGGATCAGTCGCAGTCACAGACGCGGGCCTTCTGAATTCTGGGTAGGATTCACTGATAATTGTGACATGGAAAGGGCCTTCTTTACCATTGAAAAGAACAGTAATGAAAAATGAGACTGTTTATGCCCCTTAAAAACCTATTTTATTAGTCTGTTCATTCAGTGTTTAGTTGCTGAACTTTGTCTCCCAAGCTGTAATACTTCAAAAAAAATTGCTTTGTAGCACACACTGGCAAATGTCCTCTGAGTCTCTGAACAGGTTGGCAGGTGTCCAACTGGATAGTTGGGCGGCATCCCTCAGGGAAAGATCTGTTTTCCGAGTGATAGTAACATTTTCTGCCTGTTTTTGAGATGATGATAGTGTTTGTCTTAAATGAGTGGTGTTTTCCAGGAAATAAAACTATAACCTTGGCCGTGTCTAATCTCAGTAACACCATGGAGCCACATCTTACAGATACTTAGCTCCTTAAAGGTCAGAAGTGTGTGTGGTATGTACTTACATGTATGCATGTAAATAAATATGTGTGTGTATATGTATATATATTGCACAGACATGTATGTACAAATACATATACGCCTATACATGTGTATAGTAAGATGGTAAAATTAGTCTGAAGTGTAGACTTGCTTTGGGCAGATGTGTGTATTTTCTTACAGGATGTAATAATTTTTACAGCATACACTTGGACTTCTTAGTTTTCGTTTTGCTGACGTGCTGGTTTCTGACACAGGTGTGAAGGTGTCGCAGACCAGTGTTTATACGTGCGCAGCGCAGCCTGGCCGAGAACTGGTATGGCGCCCAGGAGCCTCCGCCCTCAACCCTGGAAAATAAAATGGGCTTTTCCTGTGACCCATCCTCTTAGCGCATCTGAGAGCCAGTGCATTTGTGTCATGAAATAGTGCTTCTTAAACTTCAAGTATAAAAATGACCTGAGGGAGTGTTTCTGACTCGGCAGGTCTGGGTGGGCCCGAGAATGTGCATTTCTGCCTGCCTGCCGATGGCTGATGATCCACGGCCACGCGTGGGTGGCAAGTTCTTAAAGTTCTTGATAACTGTAGTCTAAACATCTGTAGCAGAACATACTGTGCCCTTCTTAGGGCCGTTCTGCCGTTTTTATGAGCCCCTGTAACCGTAACAAGTGCTCGGCCACCTAAACTACTTGCACAGCAAAAACCACCAGCAGTCCCGCCGAGAGGGAGACTGACCAGGGAGACTGACCAGCAGAGGGCAGGCCTGCTGGGAGCGCAGGGAGTCGGCCTGGTTCCCCGGCCAGCTCTGTGCCAGGAGGCCAAGCTGTCTCCAAAGCCGCCCCCTCTCCATGGCGTCTCCCCTTGGCTGGGTTCTGCTCGGGAGGAAGGGCACTGAAGTCACCCTGTGTGTCACGTGTTAAGGGGACACCTTACATCCGCTGCTCCCAGTGAGCCGAGTCTGCCTCCTAGGTTTCCCGCTGGTCATCACTTCGTAGCAGGTCGGAGTCCTTGGGCGCAGCCGTCTGATTTTCCGAGGTCGTCGTGCCTGCCACCTCTTCCAAACACCGAGCGCCGTGTCGGTGCGTACGCCCCCCGTAATGCTTGACCTTTTTATTTTTATTTTTTAAATTAACTTTGATTATAGCACTGATGTAGAAAGGCTCCTGAAATGTCTCTTGTGATTTCACGAAGCTCAATGTGACAGGTCGTTAGGTCCCTGCTGTAATGTCATAAGAATGCACTTGTGTTCCCTACTAGACACTTGTTAAGTTTCTAAATGGACAGTGTCACATGAGCATTTTGGTTTGAGTTATGGGTGACTGTTTTGTTGTGTCCTAAGAGAGTGTCGCAATGTGGGGAGAAGCGGAGGTCTGCTCTCAGTTACCAGGGGTGGGCCCAGGTGGTCCTGCCTCCTCCGGGAATTGAAGGTTTAGGTAAAACAGCCTGACCCAGACTTAAAAATAGGTTTGCCTTTCATTCTTTTTCCTGGCTAACTATTTTAGAATACATTTTCTGGTTTCCTAGTTACTTCTCTACCAAGAGCTATTTTGGGCAATAGTAAGTAGATTTGAGACCGTTTTTTGGTGAAGGAGGTCCGCGCTGTCAGACCACGGTTGGGACTGTGCCCTGCAGGACCCTTTCTGTCCGCTCACTCTGTCTCAGCCTGTGCAGCGCTGAGTCGGTGCAGGAGGCTTCGAGCACCTTCCTATACGTGTGTTTGATCTGAAGGCTGCCGGTCGAGTCCTCGTGACTCCGGGCATCTGCTGCTCTGCCGGAGATCGTGCAACCCTTTAGCTTCAATTAGCTTTGATTTTGATTTTGATAACCTAGAACCTAGCGCGCCTAATTATAGACTCCTAATTTAGAGGAAGAGCTCCCAAGTTCCGTAGGCATAGCAATCGATGTGTATAAACTTGGCTTCATTGAAAAGGTGTCATTTTCAGAAAAATATCTAATATTAGTGATTTATATCAAAGTATGAAACGAGCCAAATAGCGTTCTCGAGGGAAGGGAAATTGGTTTTCTTTGCAAGGGTTCTAAATACCGGCCTAGCCCTCAAGTCGGGCAACATAGATTAGATTCTGTGGTTTTATCCTGCACCTGGGCAGAAGCTCTTTATGCTTCCTGTAGTCCTGTGATTCATTGATTCATTCATCACTTCAATTCATTCACACCTGCTCCAAGGTTTTGTCCTTGAGTTTCAAGAAGCATCGTCATGCCAGGTGTCCCTGAGTTGCTCATTATTCACCCATCTAGTAAGCATCTATTAAAAGCTAAAAATATGACCTTTTCATTTTTTTTGAATAGTGGTATTGCAAAAAGACAACAACAACAAAAAAACGCCCAATAGCACACAATTACACTTAATGTGTACCTACAATTATTCTTGGTCCACAATCTATAAATAAACTGTCATGCAAACTTCTGGAAACATTTCACAATCGCATGGATCTCTTGAATTATTTAAACATCATTATTAAAGCAATATTTTTAATGGACTCAGCAAGATGCCAAGTAACTACATCACAAATGTTACTTTAGAAATGTGATATTAGAAACTCAGAATTTACTTGACTGTACAGTGACCAGACTTCTTGGTTTTCCTGGAGTTGAGGGTTTTGCTCGGATCTCCGATTCTCAGTGCTGAAATCAGGGTGGTCAGTGGCCCATTTCCTCCACTAGCCAGGCTCTGTCTGGGATGAACTTGGTCTCAAGTCAGTGCTGACCAGAGCAGGAACTAAATCAGGGTCCTCAGTCACTTGTCCGGCAGGACCTCAACTTAAAGACCCGTCAGCACTGGACATCTGAATAGCAGTGTTCCCCTGCCCTGGTCACCTGAAGACTATATTAGGTTCTACTTTAATTCCAACCTTGATGACTGGGCTTAAATTTTAGTTTACCTACTTGACAACCCCGTTCCCAGTTGGGAGTAGAATAAACTCGTTAACACCACTTAGCTTGTGTAGGACGTAAAATCCTGTATAACTCTGCCAATCCAAAGCCTGCACCTCCTCCCTGACCTCTCGTCTCCCGGCTGCGGGCTGTGGTCCTGCTCTGGCTGCCCCGTCCCAGCAGCGAGGTGACTAGTACTCATTCCCGCGTGTCTTCCCAATTTGATTTGAGTCCTTGAATTGCTTCTACATGATTTGCTTATGGAATCTTCCTTCTCAGCGGTTCTCAAACCTTAGAGTACAAAGGAACCTCCAGGAGAGCTTTTAACACAGTTTCCTGGGCTCTGTCCCCAGAGATTCTGATCCAATAAGTCAAGGAAGGACCCACGGATCTGCATTCGAACAAGGGCCCGTAAGACTCCTGGTTCAGGTCGCACTGTGCGAAGCAGTGTTTTGAGTCAGACATTGCCTAAGGGGAGGACCTCCCCAGTACCTGGCCGGTTTGCACCCGAACCCTTATCGAGCCCAGTTCCGTCTTTCCCTTCGCATCAGCTCATTTTCTCCAGGGAGATGCCGGTGCACCAGACGCCACATCAGCCAGCCGGCCGGGAGGCTGGAGTGGACTCCAGTGGGGAATGACATCGAGGCCGACACCCTCCCTTCATGTCCTTTGCCTCACACATCACAGAGTCCACCTCACATTTTAACGTGCAGTGCACTCTGCAGGGGTGCGTGTTGATCAGATTAGGTCAGCCACGGAAACCTTGAAATTCATTTCGTTTCCGCCTGTTCCCTTTAATGCATTTTTACTGATCTAACAAGGTGAAGTCAGACAAAATGCAGAAGTTTGCCCCAAGGAGCTTCCGGCTCTGAGGCCCACTCTTGACTGCCTTCGTGAACTGAGTTTGAATTTAATTAACTGGATATAAGTGAGTCTCCCCAAGTGTCTGTTTCCCTTCTCCGTTTGCACTGTCCGAGTGCGGAGAAGACAGGGGGGTAAAGCGAAGCCAGGGAAGGGGCGTGGATCACAAAAACAAAACGGAATCTCACATTGTTATTGGTTCTGTTGTCAGCCGTGGGGATTTCAGCCGGCGCCTCCTGCACAGCGAAAGGCAGACGTGGCCATGAAGCTTGCTGAGCGAGGATTTCGTGTTTCTTCCTGAGCATGCACAAATAGGGACTTGGGTGACTGGAGACCTTTCTTTCATGGCTTATAGAACAGCTGGAAAGGGGTTTAAAGTTAGAACAAGAGGTGATTTATTCACTGACTCATATTTATGATGCAAAAGAAATAGAAATTCT